CGCAGTGGTCGGTCATTGGATGGGTGACCAAAAATTTACTATCTCGAGCTCCTCCATGCTTCGGAAGGCACGTTAAACCGTTGGTCCCGGCTGCATCTGCAGTCGTTAGCACCCACCAATCCGCACTTGGCCCGCGTGGTGGGTCATGGCCCAATCTCCCTATTCCATCCATAGGGAAGGCATGTGCCCCAGCTGTGGGGACATTAATAGGCTGATGATGATGATGAATTTACCTAACCTAACCTAAATTATGTAAATTCAATGAAGTAGAAGCAGTGACCTATCCGTCAATGCTCCTACTTAATGTCAAGTCAATGCCAAGAGGTAAGTACATATTTAAACAAAAGCCATATATTCAAATCGCAACTGCATAAAATAAATTGATGCATTATAATTTTATGTACATAAAAACAACAAACGACCTTGTTAATTTTCATTCTAATTGAATCGCTGACCGTCTAGGTTCTCATAAATGTAAGAAGTAGTTTGTAGTAATCTGTATTATTGCTTCATACATTAAATCTTCTTTCGTTTGCGATAGAGCATCCAAGAGCATAAAATATAGGTAATCAATGCAAATTTTATACAGGATGTTACAAAAATATAAATAAAGCTTGAAGGGCGTTGAAGTACAACATATAAGGAGTCTTCTCTAATTTTCTTAAAATATTTGCATAAAGTTTTAATTTTTTATAAAAACCAGTTATTTTTAACGATTATTAAAAATATCGATCATTTAAAGACACGTCACTAGTTCGAGGATCATTAAAAATAACTGTTTTTATAAACAGTTAAAACTTCATGCAAAAATTTTAAAAAAATAGAGAAGACTCGTTATTTATGATGTAGTTAATCACCCTTCAAGCTTTATTTGTATTTTTGTAACACCCTGTATATTATTATATTATAAATGCGAAAATGTGTCTGTCCCGGACTGAGGATAGTTACAGTATTTAAAATATGTCGAACGAAATAGGTAGGTACGTATTTCTAATATCGAAAATACTCGGAGTAAGCAATTCAAGCAGCCCGTTTTGGACTCTCACTCACCCTAAACGCCCACCCTTTATGTCTGCAAAGCGAGGGGAGGGGATATGGAGGGGATAAAGCTCCCTGCTCCGTCAGTATCGCTCCCGCAGCGTAGGACGGCGCACCTGTCGCGTCTCGCGCAACAAAATGATTTAGCCCCATTCCAGTTAGCTTTTTCATTTCCAATGTAGTGTTGTGACAGATTGATTTTATTATGTCTTCCATTGTAATAATGTGAGTCTAACAGCGTTGTGAATAGTAGTTTGGTATGTATATTTAAGGTACTTTACTATAGGCAATAACAATCGTTTCCCATATTCTCCAATATTTTGACAATCATAAAATTATTAATCAATTAAAATTTTAATCATCATTAGTTTTCATTACGTATTAGAAATTATAAATGAGTACTCATTATTAAAAAGTGAAACAATTTGTCTACATTTTTCAAATCGATAAAGCTGTGAATGATAATAGTAAATATAATTGTAATATTATAAAATAATATACCAAATTACATAATGTATCAAATTTATTGATTTCATCACTGATTTTCAATCTAGGACGCCTACGTAAAGATTGACCTATTTTATGAATGGGGAAAGGTCATCAATTTACCTTTAACCTTTTCATGTAAGCAAAATGTTGAATGAAATATTCTGTTTTACACGAAACAAGACTATAGATCTATACATCTATAGTAATGCTATTTGAGCGTAAATTGAAATAATGTTTTAATTTGGGGCATTTTAAACTAACTTCCAAGAACAGAAGGTTCTCAATTCGTCATTATATTTGTTTTTTTTTATTTGTTGAGATATGCGCGAATTGCAAGGTTTGTGGACCGATTTTAATGATTCTTTTTTTGTTGTAAGAATTTGTTAGCGAGAGGGTCCCATATGAACTTTGTGAAGATGTGATAAATACTTTCGGAAATAAACAACGGAACCTCTGAAATACGAACAGTACGCCTAGCAGAAACCATTATCGAATTCGAATAGTTTGCAAACCGAAATGTCAATGACAAATTTTGTACGGAAACTTGCACAGCAGCGGCACAAAGTACGTAACGAGAACTAAAAATCAGTACACATTTGACAATGTCATTTCGGACTCGCAAACGATACGAATTCGATATTGGTTCGTGCTAGGGATACAGAACCCTTAGTTAGTTAGTTTTACAATTACGAAAACTATGATAGTTTTCGTGAGCTCGCACTCGTACTAAGGGTGCTGATTTTATTGTTTTCGTTTCAATACTAATAAACAGTGTTTAAATTATATTATTAAATAATTTGCGTCTTCTTAAAATTTAAGTATATTTGGTTACTTTTCACCAAAATGGATATAGAAACATTATTTACAATTACGAAATCTATGATAGTTTTCGTGAGCTCAAAGTCGTACTAAGGGTACAATGGGACACATTTGTGTTTGAAAAGAGAAATTGCAGGCCACTCTTTCTATAATTAGTAAGTAGCTCTGGTTGATAAAAATGCAAAAATAAAATCGTCTTCATAAAAACAAAACCATTAAAATATATTATAAACTAGCAAACCCGGCGAACTCCGTTTCGCCACCAGATGGCTTCGTTTTATGTAACATTTCGTTTGGTGATTAAAAGAAGTTTTTTTATTTAATTTTTCCTGAATTTTCTTTGCTATAAACCTTATAAACCTCACGGAGCCCGAGACCTTTCCAACGAATGCAAAACCGTGGAAATCGGTTCGTGCGTTCTGGAGTTATAGCGTCAGGAAGGAAAACCCGACTTATTTTTATATAGTAGATAACACATTTTCTTTAATAAAATCAAAAGTACCTTTAAAGACAAATTAAAATTAATATTTGGATGCATGTCTGATAGATCTGAGTTTTAAATTAGATTCGATAAAATTAATTTTAATTTTACTTTAAAAATACTTTTGACTTAACAAAAGAAAATGTATTATTTCTTAATTTTTAGTGGTTTTGTTTTTATGAAGTAGGTTTTCATTTTTGTTAATTGGATTGTCATGTTAAAGGGATGATTAATTTGTTCAGAAATAAATGCGTTATTTACTACAGGTACTTTGGTATCTATTATCCCTAAATGTAAACCACAAAGAAAATAGAAAACATCAGATTGCCAACTAGAAATAGAGCGCCTATTTATCTGAAGAATCAGCTCCGCCTTACAGAAAACTACATCCAAATGTCACTATTAAAATTTTATAGTGATTTCCTCATTTTGCTTTAGTGTGGGTTAAAGATTTTGTTCTCAAACTTTTGTTATTAACTCTACCATCATGTATTCCAACTTTTCATGAAAAAATATCTAAAAAATCGTGAAAACTAAATGAAAATCCGTACTTTTCGAAACATTTTAGCTAGATTTCGATCTAAAAAGCTTGTATACCTTGACGGAGATTATTTTTTGTTGTTAAGTTTTGCTTAGATATTATTTTTTAGTGTTATAGTTAGGAGCTCGATGGCGTAGGTGGTTAGGGCGTTCAGCTGCGATCGTTGAATTTAAGCAACTTTCGCAGTGGTTGGTCATTGGATGGGTGACCAAAAATCTTCTATCTCGAGTTCCTCCGTGCTTCGGAAGACACGTTAAGTCGTTGGTCTCATGTTTCTGCAGTCGCCACTCCGCACTGGGCCTGCGTGGTGGGTTATGGCCCACTCTCCCTATTCCATCTATAGGGAAGGCCTGTGCCCCAGCCAGAAATAAACTTTTGTACGTGTGAGTTTTACGTAATTTCTCTATCTGGGTCCTTTAGTTGTTAATATATTTTAATTGCCTGCATTTGAATAAAGACCCACCTACCTACCTACCTATTATGTGTTCTAACCGGTATTGATTTTGAAACTTTCCGTATTACTTAACATTTGCACTTTCAACACTAGGTAGGTTTTTGGTGTTTAACAACAGCAGGACTTTATTGCATATCTGGGCAGTTTGATTGTTAGGATAACATTTACAAAATATATTTATATACTTAACTATAGTAAAATCATGCGGGAATATAAAACTGGTCGTACAATGTTTTTTCACCTCGGATTCCGTCGGCCTAAGCAAGTCTTAGAGTACCCAGCCGACGAAATCAGCGGTGCCAACGCGCCTGCTACTCCTCCCACACAGGCCACAAACACCAACACTACACAGCTAGCATACTTGCACACTAGCTTAGCAGTAAGCATACACCACACCCGTGGAATAAGAGTGCGAAGACCAGGTCTACCTGGGCGTTTTTCCCCGCCCCCCACGACAACGGCTAACTAGAGCCGAGGTCCGAGTCCCAGAGCCCTCTAGTTGAGCCGACCCCCTCAGGTTCGAGTGGTCTAGAGGCACCAGACGAAGAGGAGCCTCCCCCCGTGGGGTGATGCCATCCGCCTGGAATACCTCTAGGGGCACTCGCCAATTCTCGGCTTGAGGTCCCTTTAGAATCTCGCCGTCCCCAAACCCGGGCCATTCGCCTAACGGGATTGCTTTGGAAAACGTTATCGCTTACGATTTCATTTTGTTATTTCTGACCGTCGAAGGTTTTCAAATACCTCACGCTCATTTTCTTTAATATTGTTATTAACAAAGCAAAAGAAAAAAGAAGAGGGCGGGGCATTTGAAAACCTTCGGCGGTCAGAAATAACAAAATGAAATCGTAAGCGATAACGTTTTTCAAAGCAATCCGGTTAGGCGATTGGCCCCCCGGTGACGCTGTAAAGGTCATCTGCGCTGCGACCAAGTGCTTACACACTAAAAAAAAAACAAAAATTACCTGATTTTTATGCTTCTCATGTAACTCAAAATTCACAGTGTGTATTTTTCCTGCAAAATGTTGACGAAAAACATTAAAAAGAACATAGTTTTTATACATTTAGGTACAAATCGAAAAACTCCTTACGTCTTACAAAAATATTTCTGATAGGTATCTAAGTCACCAAAGTTTTATATTTTTTATTGATCAATCAAATGTTTGTTCTTTACATTCCAGGTATAACAAGGCCCGCTGACCGCAGTAACGATGCAGGCGTATTCATCTCTCCACTGAACTCGGAACAGATCAATACATCAAAATGGCACTATCAAACAACTCCATATCCAGAACCTACCACAGGCTGTTTGTTGAATTGGCAGGTGAGGGAAACCGGTCATATATTATTAGAATCATTATCTGTTAAAAACACTTATTTACCTAACAAAAAGTGCGGGTGTAAATGGAAAATCTTATGGAAAAGATGAAACGGAAATGTCACATAACTATGTTTGTGTGTGTGGGTTGGGTGCACTGCTCAATTCCCATAAGCCTTATATTAGGTTATTTAAGGAAATAAGTTTCACTTCACATGTTTCTAAATTAAATCGAAACTATATATCGATTTTCGATATCAGATTCTGAAACTAATCATCATTATCATCAGCCTATTAATGTCCCCACTGCTGGGGCACAGGCCTTCAGATGGAATAGGGAGTTTGGGTCATGACCCAGCACGCGGGCCCAGTGCGGATTGGTAAGTAGTTAACGACTGCAGATGCAGTCGGGACCAACGGCTTAACATGCCTTCCGAAGCACGAATTGAAACTAATATCTTATATTAAAAGGGTGACCAATAAGACAACTCCATATCCAGAACCTACCACAGGCTATTTGTTGAATTGGCAGGTGAGGGAAACCGTCATATACTATTATTTTATCTGTTAAAAACACTTATTTACCTAACAGAAAGTGAAGGCGTTAATGGAAAATCCTATGGTAAAGATGAAACGGAAATGTCACATTACTATGTAGGTGTGTGTGGGTGCGTCCACTGCTCCATTCCCTTATGCCTTACGCACCGCCTTATATAAGGTTATTTAAGAAAATAAGTTTCACTTCACATGTTTCTAAATCAAATCGAAACTATATATCGATATTCGATATCAGATTCTGAACTAATCATCATCATCATCAGCCTATTAATGTCCCCACTGCTGGGGCACAGGCCTTCCCTATGGATGGAATAGGGTGATTGGGTCATGACCCACCACGCGGGCCCAGTGAGGATTGGTGGGTGCTAACGACACGACGAATTGAAACTAATATTTTATATTAAAAGGGTGACCAACAAGCGTATGGCCCGCCTGATGGTAAGCGGCTTCCGTCTACCCTAGAATCTTACTTACAGACAGAAATACACCACCACCTCCATCGTAAAGGTTGTAGGAAGGCCAAAGCGGAAGATCTTCCTCCGAGCTGGGTGATGTTAGCTCGGGGGCCGTGGCCCAACTAATGTTGGTCGGGCATCGTATATACGAAGGGTTAGCCTCCGAATTTCATTTGCGCGATGTAGGCTTCCATACTATTATGATCGCAGTGCAGGTAACGCCATCTCTTGAGGATGGTGAGTAATGATTTCCTTCATCTGTTGTATATATGTGGGGCATATAGATGTCGCCGCCACAAGGTGATGTTTACTTTAACAGACGGGAGCTCCAATTTGAGCGGAATATCCGCTATGCCCTACCACTCTCATTTTTCATTATTCTTGGCGTTTTGTATTCTTTACAGGCTCCAGGCCATAGCCGTCTTTGGTAAAAGCCTGTTAAGGATTCGAAACGTCAAAAAAAATATCATCAATAGCACTTTTTACCCGTTCAAAACATGAATTATTGAATCCTATGTCTCAAACCAGTATTCAAACTACATTCTGTATACCTCGATTTTTCATACAATTCGCTTTTACGTGATCGATTAAGAAAGATACAAATTAACAAAACTTTGACTAATATTATTTTACATTTCTTAATACATCATTTTCATCTTTGTTAATAGGGTATTTGACAGTATTAAAAACAAAGTGCCAATTGTTATCATTTGTATTTAGAATGAATATTGGCAGGAGTTTTTACTATTTTTACAGAAAAAATATTCATAATTTTACTTAAAAACCCACGGTAAAGATAATAAATAGTTTCCTTGTCTTTTGTCACGTGACCCAAAACGCTTGGGATTGGTGGAGCCTAAAATGACGTCACACGCAAGTAAACTTCCGGTTAAAGTTCATTTTAATGACAGTCGTGTGACGTCACACACCAGTGAGTTTTAAATTTAGTTTTTTTACCGAAATACCCAACATAATGATGAATATCCACTTTTTATGGACTCTATAAACATTAGTAAATAACGTGAGATCGTTTTCTTAAACTTGTCAAATACCCTATTGTTTCAATTGAAATATAGATAGGATTTGGTGTAAACATGATAAGATAAAATTTTATTTAAGTACTTTGGCGCAAGTGAGCCTGGTTCTCCTAAAATTTTAGTTACTCATTTTTTTTTGTGATCTTCTTTTCATTACTCGTCTATGTGTCCATCTGCCCGTCTGTCTCATGAACCACTACCCGTAGAAAGTTGAAATTTTCACACGATTAATGCTTGTGTTACCGTTATAAAAACCAACCAATAAAAACAAAGAAAAAAATTAATGGGATCTTCATCATGGCTGTATTGTCATGTCGAATTGTACAGCGCCCTTCGTGAGTTAGTGATACTTGCACTTGAATAGTTTTTTATATAAAATGCTATACTGATCTACTACTTAAATATCATTTACAAAGCGAAAGTAAGGACTAAATATAGGAAATAACATAATCTATGGCAAGCATTCCAGATTTTAGTCTAAAATATCCAAACGTCATAAATAAATAAAGTTTCGTGCATTAACCCGTAAAAAACTAGTATTATTTAATGGGTGATGTGCGTGAAAACCTAAAAACAAATACTAAAATATCCAGTTTAAACTATAATATTTCTGTTCGATAATGCCTTTTTTGCTGACCACTGCAATAATGTACTATGACGAATGTGACACTATTATCCTTTTACACTTGAACAAACTGCGCCCGCATACGTTTTATAAATTCCTTAACAAATGACAGTCTATTTTCTATTGTCGAGTGGTATGTACAGCGGTTTTCAAGGTGTCGCCTACTCATAGGTCCCGGGTTCGAATGCCGGTGTGGCAAATGTTTGTGCGATGAATACGATCATTTGTACAGTCATGGATGTTTATATATATGTATAAACAAAAATATACTTATATATGTACAGTATATCTCTACTACTAATCTCTACTACTAATTGATTTGTATATATATATGTGTGTGTTAGAAATATTAAAATATTTATTTATTCCTAATTACAGACCACCGCACCAACGACTGGTTCCTCATCAAAAGCCCCATACCTGGACTGACTATCATCGGGCTGTACCTGTACTTCGTGCTGAAATGGGGTCCCCGCTACATGGCCGACAAGAAACCCTTCCAGCTGCAGAAAACGCTGGTCGTCTACAACTTCCTCCAGGTCGTGGTCAGCTGTTGGCTCTTTTTTGAGGTATGATCCATCATGCTTTTTAAACTTGTCTTTGTTTGCTTTTGCACTTTTCTTTTGTAAATCAGTATGTACGATACTGTAACAGCTGATGGAAAAAGCTCATTAAACTATTTCATATCTCGCGTTCCTTGAATTTGATGGAAAACGCCTCCGATTCCTCCTACACAGGCCACAAACCCAAAACACTACACACACAGCTAGCAAACTTGTACACTAGCTTAGCATTAGGCAGGCACCGCAACCGTAGGATAAGAGTGCGAAGAACCGGTCTACACACGACACGCTATACCAGGTACAGGTACCTGGACTAGAGCCGAGGTCCGAGTCTCAGAGACGCCCTCTAGTTGGGCCGACCCCTTCAGGTTTGAGTGGTCTAGAGGCTCCAGACGGAGAGGAGACTCCCTCCGTGGGGAGATGCCATCTGCCTGGAATACCTCTAGAAGCACTCGCCAATTCTCGGCTTGAGGTCCCCTTAGGATCTCGCCTAGATATAGCAAACCCGGTGACGCTGTAAAGATCATCTGTGACCAACAGCATACACACTCGAAAAAAAATGATGCAGTACTTAACTCGTACTCCTTATTCGATAAAACCCGAAGGTAGCGAATGTCCAGGTGATTGTCCAAAATTGAACAATAAATAAAAAAATCTCATTATATATTCTTTTAAACTTCCATGTTCACTAACATTATGGTAATTTATGTTGTTTACGGGATTGGTACCATGTACCTCATCCTTTACTCCGTGATCATGGCGCTTGCAACAGTGCCGAAATATCGGAAACTCATTAAAAATAAGGTACATGGTAACAATCCTGTAAACAACATAAATTACTAGGTGTATAAAGATGATGATGATTTAAAAAAAATAATTATGTTCATTACTTCCACCATGAGTCAAAATTCACGGAGAATATAAAGGTCACTTCAATATTAACCTCAATCCTGACTTAACCGAATTAGGGCTATCCCGTATGAATCCGCCGCTAGAGGCGCTTGTGTAACATAAGGTCTCCGAAATGTCAATATTGGTTGTGGGTTGACCACGCGGGTTTATTTTTAATTAAAATAATGTTGTGAATATTTGGTAATAACTGAGATTAATTGTCATTGATTATATGCCAGTTATTTAAAAGCGGAGCTAAGAAAAATTATTACCTCCTACTTTTTTTCCGAACAAAACGGAACTGCGCAACACTGTGGCATTACCGATTATGTTAACGATATGGTTCTTTTGTATCAAAATATGATTTAAATGTAAACTTTGATTTTATGTGCGTATAACAAACTTTAAAAACTACACCTCAGCCCTCACTCAACAGTGGCACCATCTGGTGAGACAAAAAACGGTAGCCCTCATTGGATTGGATGCCCCATTTAATATTTCTCTTTCCATTTCCCGTACGAAGAATTTAAATTTTATAATTATAGACAGTTAATAGTGTCCCAATATGTCGATTACAGGGTTTGGACGCTGGCTGGCTGAGGACCTACAGCTGGCGGTGTCAGCCGGTGGACTTCTCGGATAGCCCAGAGGCTATAAGGGTGAGACACATTTCCAATATCCTACCTTATAAGTATTGTAATATCCAAATTACAAATAAATGATCGAGTCTGTGTTACTCGCGTACAAGCAAGGCAAGGCAGCTGGTTGGGCGCCGGGTGGGTCAGGTGCGCTATGACTAGTGTTGCCAGGTCCGATTTGTTTTAAATCGGTACATTGAGGTCAAAAAAATCGGGATTTAAGATTTCAGATCAGGACAGTAAACAAAAAACAAGGGGTTTTTAACTATAGGTTTAATTTAATGCGTTTTAAACTAGTGCAAGTATAGTATTTTATTAATTACCTTTTTTTGATTTCATTTTCCATTCATCTTTTTTTCATTTTTTGATTAATCGGAACATTTAGCGTCTCGATCAGGTACAAATCGGTAATCGTTCCCACAACCTTGAAAATCGGGACGTCCGGCGCGAATCGGGACACCTGGAAAAACTAGCTATGACCTCCAAATAACGATTTTTTTAAACCACTGGTTTTGCAAATCAGTAGATTTAGCCGTTAGTTCCGGCTTGACGACCTCTGTGGCTCGAGTAGCATGTACGCCGTTTACATGGTTTCGCCTACTCAGAGGTCCCGTATTCGAATTCCGGTGGGGTAAATGTTTGAGCATTTGTACCTAAGTCAATGTTTATATGTTTTTCAAAAATATAAGTATACATATATGTATCAGTATATTATGTTTTCTATCCGTTACCCTAGTATCCCATAACAGAAGCCTTACAGTGCTTACTTTGGGGCTAGGCTAATTGGTGTGTGTGTAAGAAATATGTATTTATTTATTATTTTTTATTTACACCCTCAGTCGTTAACATCAACTATTCCACACTAGATGTTCGGGGTAGGTCATGCTGCGTTCTCTCTCTTCTATGTGTAGAAAACGCTTTGATCTGTATTTCAGATTCTGGAACAATGATATCCATGATGAAAATTCAATGAGGGCTATCGCGTATGAATCCGCCCGCTAGAGGCGCTAGTGTAGCGTGAGGTCTCCGAAATGTCAAATGTTATTGCTTGTTGGTTGACTACGCGGGTTTATTTCTTATTAAAATAATGTTGTGAATAATTGGTAAAAAATCGGCTTAATTATGGCAAATATGAGTTATGTGGCAATGAATGTCAGTTATTAAAAATTTGAGCTTAGAAAAATGATTATGTTCCCATTTTTTCCGAATAAAACGGAACTGGGCGTCACTGTGGCATGGCCTATTATGTTTAGGGTATGAATCTTTTGTGTTAAAATACGATCTAAATGTAACCTTTGATTTCATGTGCGTATTAATAAACTTTAAAAGTTACAATTTAGGACCTCACTCAACAGTGGCGCCATCTGGTGAGACAGAAAACGGTAGCCCTCATTGAGTTCTATTTAGCTTATTGTTTTAATAAACAAATTCGTCATTTTATTGTAAATCTAATTCTTCTTTGTTCTTTTTTTTGTATCGAAATGCTCAATCTACCCCTCTCGTTTCCAGGTCGCTCGAGGAGTGTACGTGTACTTTTTGGCGAAAATATCTGAGCTGCTAGATACAGTATTCTTCGTCATCAGGAAGAAGGAGAGACAGATCACATTCCTCCATATGTACCACCACACTGTGATGCCCATGATATCCTGGGGCGCGACGAAGTACTACCCTGGAGGCCATGGGACCCTCATAGGGGTTATCAATTCATTCGTCCATATAATCATGTACACATATTATATGTTAGCGGCGATGGGACCCCAGTACCAGAAGTTCTTGTTCTGGAAACGCCATATAACCACGCTGCAGATGGTAAGTGTTGAAAACTTGATTTTTTTTTTGTGAAAATCGGTTGAACTCTGAGCGCAGACGAGCTCGATGGTGCAAGTGGTTAGTGCATTCGGCTGTGCTTGCTGAAATTAAGCAACTTTCGCAGTTGTTGGTCATTGGATGGGTGACAAAATTTTTATCTCGAGCTCCTTCGTGCTTTGCAAGGCACATTAAGCCGTTGGCCTACACCCAGCTACATCTGTAGTCGTTAACACCCACCAATCCGCACTGGGCCCGCGTGGTGGGTCATGGCCCAATCTTCCTATTCCATCTATAAGGGAGGCCTGTGCCCCTGCAGTAGAGATATTAATAGACAGATGATCATCATTTAGGTACCTACATGAGAAGACTTGATTGTTTTCTTTACTGACAATAATTTTGTTTTTTCCAGCTCCAATTCTGCATAGCGTTCCTGCATTCGTCTCAACTCCTGTTCTACGACTGCGGTTATCCGAGGTGGTCGGTTGTGTTCACATTACCGAATTCGATATTTTTCTACTATCTATTTTACGATTTCTACTATAAAGCTTACGGTAAGCCAGGCGACAAGAAGATAAAGGAAAAAGATGGCGTCGAAAACCAAGCAAACGGTAAAGAGAAAGAATCAGAATCTAAACAGTACGATAAGAGCAATTACAAAGCCACCAATGGGATCAAGAATGGTATAGTCAGTAACGACAAAAAAGTCGATTAGAACGTATAATGGGGAAAATTGTAAATATTATTAAAATTATGAATAGCGTCGTACTCTGTATAAATATACATTAAAACTAGTTTTATCTTTTAATAGTGTTGCACTAATCATTAAGTAGAATTGGGAATGTTTAATGAATTTATTAAAATTTTAGCGATTGTAAAACTGCTTTCCGATATAGGCAGTTTAATTTACCAATACATTATGGTTAAGGTGAACGCTCAATTTTAAAATGATATCTCTATAACTGAACGTCTTTGCTACTGTAAGTACAGTATATTGATTTGTTACCATTTTGATTTTAATTAGATTTTATATAAATTACTAGTTGTGTATTTTTAAGGGGTATGTTCAATCGTGGTTTTATTACACCTAGTTCGACTATAAGTTGTACTTATAGAAGATTACCCTATATATTGTTTTAAATTTTCGTGGTCACTAACATTATAGCTATTAACGGGACTGTTACCATGTACCTTGTTTTTATGAGTCTCCGATATTTCGGCACTATTACTTCAGTTACTCCGTGATCATGGCGCTTGCAACAGTGCCGAAATAGCGGAGACTCATAAAAACAAGGTGCATGGTAACAATCCCGTTAATAGCTATAAGATTAACCCATTTAGTCATATTTACGATACGACTGACTTTGATATACGGAAAACTGTAAAAAAATATTTTTCCGTTTATATTGTACGAATAAATTGGCTTTTATTTTATTCTGCTTATCAGTATAACTCGAATTTAAAACTAGGTGGAATACTTTATAATATCATTGCGAAGAAAATTAAATTGTCATGTATATAACCTAGGCTATATAACATATTGTATGATAGACTATTTGTCATACTTGAAATCTTCCAAAGCGAGATACAGGACTCTCAGCATAAAACTTTAATGTTACTTATTGAAGTATAAAATACTTGTTAGCTAAAACTTTATTTTTATTATTATTACATATTTTAGACGTGAAAAAGTTGCTTCAAGCAATTTGTTTACCGCAAAATATTGTCAATTATAATATTGTACAACAAAGATGGTTTATTTTTGCCAAACCTATTTGAATGGTGATATTTTGTATCTTTAGAAAAGTCGACTAACTCGAACCCGTAACTCTATCGACCATTTCGCCTATAAAAGGTAGGCGAAGTGCTATTATTCTTGGCATCGTCATGACATTATACAGGCTATGGTAAGTAAAAAAACTGAGCTACTTTAACAGACTTCCCGAGAAATTTCCAAGTTCTTAAACTGTTTACCAAAATATCACAAGTCGGTTTTCGTTCTTATTTATATTGCTATATTTTAGCATGCAGAATTTTGTTTGTTCATACTTTCCAATCTTCCGGGTCTGAAGCTACTGATAAGCATCATTCGTGCAGACGTCGCTTGAGTATTTGAGGACTCAACCCATTAAACAAAATTTTAAACTGAACAGTTTAAACTGAAGAACTGAATTGTCAGGGTTATAATTTATGTTAAAGCAAAGCAAGGTGCATCATATCGCATCAGTCTATTAACACACGACGCTGCATTATGTATGCATCAGTTTTTGGATTAGTTAGATGATTAATGGTCTAAGAGCTGGCTACGAAAAAGTGAACTGATAAGGTGTAGTAACGAATTATATATATAACCTCTCCTTGGTAGCTTATAAGTACAGAGCGAGGCCCGTCAGAACTCTCTCCAGAGGCGGAAGGCGTGGGTGGGCGGACAAAATCGTAAATTTTCAATAAGAAAAAAATGATAAGGTGCAGTTCTGAAATTTGGTAGAGTTATAGTTTTTAATTGTAGGAATCTAGGAAAATTATTGTCAGAAGTCTAGGTCGGGGCTTAAAGACTGTCAGAAGTCGACAAAGTTGTAAAGAAATTGTTTAAATTTAAACCACAAGGTGTAGTTCTGACAAATGCATTTTTATATTATTTGTTGCTTATCAAATCTGTATATAAATCGTCAGAAGTCTTAATAACGGCTAAGTACATAAAAAATGATGATATAGCCAGAAGTTGCTGAAGCGGCTATCGCGACGGAAAGCAACGTTTCGAATCTAGTTTTGAGTTAAAATAACAAGGTGCAGTTCTGACAATTGAATTTTTATATTATTTATAGCTAACCGAACCTGCACATATATTGTCAGAAGGCTTAATAATGGCTAAGTACAGAATAATTTGCTGGTCGGGTGCCGGATGGGTAAGGTACACTACGACCTTTAGTTTTTCACTTTAGTGCTAATTTCAAACTTTTTTGGAAAAACAAATGTATCTCAACATGGTCTCAGCAGTGTTGGACGAAGGTAGTATCATGAATTTCATTGAAAAAAATAACAATTACCAGTTTGAATGCATTATTATTATTTTAACAAATATGTTTATTAATCTTTATATAATATTGCAGAACCTTTTCTTTACTATATAAAAAGTTCCACAGAGTAGTCTTAAGGCTGCAATTTTCTTTTAGAAATACTGATATTAATTTGGACCTTAATCGAATTATCTTTTCTGTATCTAAGTATGATAACAAGATGTACTTATTGATTTTCAAGAGATTCCTATATATATATAAACTTAGAAACAGTTACTTCCAAGACAGGGCTTTCATAATAGTTCCTATTTTATTATTTTTTTGCTTTCGTTTCGTAACTGGAATTGTAGAAGTTTGTAAACAAATAAAAGAATAAGACAAGGGAGATTTCAAAATACAAAAATCCTAGGACACTATGCTCGCACGTGGTATACAAGAAATTAACTAATTGGTAGATAAACACGACCACGAACTGTACCTGAAATTAAATGAGAAATGTATTTAAACTCTTATAAAAAGAAGACAAGTATCATAATGATCATACTGTTCTGAAAAGTCAGGTTTTTATTTGTTACTAGCTGACCCAGCGAACTTCGTACCGCCATAAAAAAATAGGGGTTGGTGGTAGAAAGTTGAAAATTTAGGGATGTATGTATTTTTGTATGATGTAGGTATCATAAAAAAAACTAAAAAAAAATATATCTAAAATTAAAAAAAATTAGGGGTGGATTACCCTTAACATTTAGGGGGATGAAAAATAGATTACATCCGATTCTCAGACCTACTGAATATGCATTTAAAATTTCACGAAAATCGGTCGAGCCGTTTCGGAGGAGTTTAACCACAAACACCGCGACACGAGAATTTTATATATTAAAATATAAAAGCAAGATTTTTCAAGCAAATAATGAAAAAATTCTATCAGGATTCGAACCCTGGAATTATTTATGCCTCATTGCATCGTCTATGGGATTTGGACAGCTTACTGTTATCACACTAATATTATCAAGGCGTAAGTTTGTTAGTGTGTATGTTTGTTGCTTCACGTCTAAACGGCTGGAGCGATTTTAACCAAATTTGGTATGGAGTTAGCTGACACCCTGGATTAATACATAGGCTACGTTTTATAGCGGGATGATATCCCTAATAAACCGCGGGTACCACCGCGGGGCACAGCTAGTAAAAGATAGATCTGCGATATAAAAATGTTTGCCACTCCCAAAACTACATCTAATATATAAAATTCTCGTGTCGCGGTGTTTGTGGTTAAACTCCTCCGAAACGGCTTTCCCAATTCTCATGAAATTTTGTGTGCATATTGAGTAGGTCTGAAAATCGGACAACATCTATTTTTCATCCTCCTAAATGATAAGGGTAATCCATCCCTAAATTTTTTTTCAATTTTAGATAAAAAAATATTTTTAAATTTTTAAGATACATCATACAAAAATACATACAACCCTAAATTTTCACCCTTCTACCACGAAGTGGTGGTACGAAGTTCGCTGGGACAGCTAGTAATAATATAATAATAATATTTATTTATTGCACAAGAAAGTGCAAAAATACCTGAATCACAGACACAGCGCTTATCCCTAAGGACCAGTTATACAACCTTTATGTAAGGAAAAAAAATACAATTCTTGTGTTAACTTAACAAAGTTAAATCAACATATTATTTAAGTAAAAGAATTAAATTATTTTATGTGTTTATCAGAACCTCCTTTTGTGTAAAGTGAATGTGAATGTGTGTGTGTAGGAGGGTGTGTGAAGATTGGACTTTAGATGTCGAGTATAATATTAGTAAAGCTAATACTATGATAAAACTAGTTTTTACGGGTTAATGCACGAAAACTTTATTTATTTATTGACGTTTCGCAGCCTTTTCAGGTCTGCATCGTCAGAATAATGATTTTATTTAAAATTGTCGAGCTACCTTCGAAAGAATTATATTGAGCGTTCGGTTATTTCATTGGAAGATTTTTAAAATTTTATTGTCTAACTATGAATTTATTATTTAATTTACTAATACTTTATTAAGTAAAGTACTTAAATCATTATTCTGACGATGCAGACCTGAAAAGGCTGCGAAACGTCAATAAATAAATAAAGTTTTTGTGCATTAACCCGTAAAAACTAGTTTTATTTAATGAGTGATGTGCGTGAAAACCTAAGAAACAAATAATACTATGATTATGATACTTGGAATAAGAAATTAAACAGTTACTAACCCTTTGTAAATTAGTGATATGTTTCTTCCACGTTAGGTATTTGGCAACTCCAGGGCCAAGGCCAGAAAGTCCATAGTATAAATACATGACGACGTGGACAAATGAGTTGCAAAATATGAAGAGATTGACCGTGGAACCTTGGGCGTATAGGAAGAGCAGGTACGTAAAGAACACCACAGAGGCATGGTGGTATACATGAAGGAAGGTCACTTGGCTGTACTTCTTCCTCAAAATGAAGAATATGGTGTCCAGGAGTTCGGTAATCTTACCCAACCAGTACACGTATACGCAATAAGACATCTGAAATTTGAAACAAATATTCTGACAACAATTAAATAATTATTTAGTCCCAAGCACTTTTGTTGTAAGGTCATCCGGGGCAATTGTAGCTACTAAAAATTTATGTTAAATTTGTGACTTTATATTGTCACATTATTAATACAATTTACCAAATACAATTGATTCTTAAATTACACATGTATTAACGATAATGAAGACGAGTTCAGATTGATAGAAAGTTAATAAATAATTTTTAATTGAAGATGTTCCACTTAAAGCCTCCAATAGTCACATTTGCTCCCGATCTGGGGCAAATGTAGCTAACCTTCCTGTTAGGAAACGTCAGGCCCAACTTAATGTTACTAATTTTGTATTTCAATACTCTCTGTTAGATGTACTTTAAGTACCCATCAGGGGGTAAATGTATTTTTTTTACATTAACATTAGTGCATGTTAATGTAAAAATAAGGGCATGTAATTCGATAACTTTGGATAACCATAAAATACAAGTAGAAACTAAGATTACAAAGCACTACCACAATAGAATTAATAGTCTCATATAAAATGTAAAAAATTAAATATAAACCCATAGGAGCTACAATTACGCCACTCACGTAGAAGAGGTAAACGTAGCCGTCTCAAAAAACTTGACTCAAACAAATGATAAAGCGAATTAATTAACAATATCTAACCTTTAATCATTCCATCATGACAAACTATAAAACACTTTCCAAAATTGCTTTAAACTTTTTTAATTTTGATAATATTTTTAGCTGTGGTCTATTAGCTTTCTCATGAGAAAAAAATAGAGAATAAAATATGTCTATAAATAAAATCTATTTATATGTTGGTCGACAAAAATCACTCTACAGAGCCAAATTTGTAACTTATTTTAAAAACGAGTTATTTGAAACAGCTACATTTGCCCACTAGCCACAATAACCCCGGGGTCCCTTAAATACTATAGGAATTAAATAACGCACGGAACAGGAACAAATAAGTTTTTAAACATTTTGTTCAATCAAAAAGAGTTGTATTAGGTATCCAATTTAAATAAAGATGTGATTGATTTTGAAATAACGATTACTCGAGATGAAACTAATATTAGTGCCATAGTATTTTAACACCATCAATCATTAACTGAAAATGTAGTTTTCAAATCAAATTCAAACGTCAATGAAACTGGATTTTGTATGAAGAGAAAAATCACAATTGAAGCGACAATAAGAAATGATTTCAATAATGAAAAATCGCAAGTTTTGTATAACCCTAGACTTAAAGGCAAACATATAAATGAACCATAGGAACGTAGGATTTTTTTTGTAGTTATATTTTCTTTACATTTAAACATCAAGCAGTTACATGCTTAAAAAATAAAATTATAACCATAGGAACTTACTTTATTTCGTACGTTTAGATCCCGATCGCTGCATGTTTTTGGCAAAAACCCTGTTAGTGTCATTATTTCGTAGGACTGCAATACAAAATGACGGTGTAGATAAACATAGCTTTGGTTGTTATTATTTTGAATGCAATCAACACAATATTCAAACATACATGCTTGTTTAGTAGAGCATCAAATAAATTTAAAGTCAATCATCTCATCATCCCCACTGCTGGAGCACAGGCCTTCGCTATGGATGAAATAGGGAGATTGGGATGATGACCCACCACGCGGATCCAGTGCGGATTGGTGGGTGCTAACGGCTGCAGATGCAGCCGGGACCAACGACTTAACGTGCCTTACGAAGCACAGAGGAGCTCGTGATAATAAATTTTCAGTCACCCATCCAATGACCGACCACTGCGAAAGTTGCTTAACTTCAACGAACGCATCCGAACGCGCTTACCACTTGTGCCATCGCGCTCCTCACGCCTTTGAAAACCTACTGCAAAGTAACAATAAAACTGACTACAGTAAGATGGAGGTACTTTATAGAACGTATTCTTACCAGATACACGAAATATGCAGATAACATCACTTGGAACGCATTGTATGTCAAAATGGTGTATTTTAATTTGTAGGGCTCGCGATCTTTCATGAACTGAGGACCAAGTTTCAATACGAAGTACAGATATGCGATTACAATGCACACAACTAGGCACAGCGAATCACTCAGTGGATACTCCTTCACATCTTCAACTGAAAAATAAAACATATTTTTTCTGAACAGAGTTAGGTTTCAAGAATATACTCAATACTCAATGTTTTATTGTTTTCCATAATGTGTAATATAATTGCATGATGACGAAATTTTTTCCCAATCGGGTAGATTATTAAAAAGTCTTGGACACGTATATTTTTTTTATTCGCATAATCAAAACATTGCAGACATAAGTTTTTTTGCGCCGACTCCCAAACTTTGGCGCGCCTTATCTTATTATATGTAATTTTTTGATTGATTACCAACACAGCCTTCATTTTTTTATAATCTAGCTGACAGACTAAATAGAATTTCGTTTACCCCGTCATTGCCCTTATTTGGCTCACTTCAACGTTTAAACAATCCGTTCAAGGCTTCTTAATTCAAATTCAAATTCTTCTCAAATATGACAGTATTTCTTTCCTCTGTGTTTTTAAGGCATAATGACATAAGGTGACCAGACCAGGTTTTTTTCAACAAACATACTTTATATTGTTTTAAACTTTCATGGTCACTAACATTATAGATATTAACGGGATTGTTACCATGTACCTTGTTTTTTATGAGTCTCCGATATTTCGGCACTGTTGCAAGCGCCATGATCACGGAGTTACTCCGTGTATAATATGTTGCAAGCGCCATGATCACGGAGTTACTCCGTGATCATGGCGCTTGCAACAGTGCCGAAATATCGGAGACTCATAAAAAACAAGGTACATGGTAACAATCCCGTTAATATCTATAATACTTTATATTGTTTTAAACTTTCATGGGCACTAACATTTTAGTAATTTTATTCTATTTACGGCGAGCGAGCGAGTTGCTAAAAACAAGGTACATGGTAACAATAGTCACTCCGTGATCATTATCGCGGAGTAATGGTTACCCTGTGATCATGACGCTTGTATTAGTGCCAAAATATCGGAAACTCGCTAAAAACAAGGTACATGGTAACAATAGTCACTCCGTGATCATTATCGCGGAGTAATGGTTACCCTGTGATCATGACGCTTGTATTAGTGCCAAAATATCGGAAACTCGCTAAAAACAAGGTACATGGTAACAATAGTCACTCCGTGATCATCATCGTGAAGTAATGGTTACCCTGTGATCATGGCTCTTGCATCAGTGTCAAAATATCGGCAACTCGCTCAAAAAAGGTACATGGTAACAATCCCGTAAATAAAATAGGTAAAGTACTACTTATAAACATATTTTCGGCCTAATAAATGTCGTTTTTATGAAATTACTTCAAAAGGTTTGTATAAGCATATTTTTAACCGACTACGAAAAGGAGGAGGTTCTCAATACGTCATTATATATTTTTTATTGCTATTCCGAAGTTAGTGGACGGATTATGATGAATCTTTTTTTGTTTGAAAGAATTTCTTAGCGAGATGGTTTCGTATATATTCAGCGAAAATCTGATGAGTACTTTTAGTGATAAACAACGAATACACACACAAATCGTGCCATGCATGTCTGATAGATCTGAGTTCATATTTAATACTTGGGATGGTGTGGCACCGAAACTAAAGAAAATGTTTTAATGAGCAAATCCAGCTCATAAAAAGTCTGTTTATTTTCGTTTACATTATTTAACTGAAGATGCGTAATCCGAATCTTCTGTTAATTGGCATTACAGACAATAATTTATACTCACACTGTTTTAAGAAGACGTATGTTCTCGCCTTGTCTTGGTGAAAATCCACCGGTTTTGCCGCCATCTTAATAAAAAAAAACTATTTCCCTATAAAATTGTCCACAACTCCCTCTCTCTACTGCAAGTGTGAATCGAAACAACATCAACAAGAAAAAACCTTCAAAAAGTACCTTTTTTTACTAAATTTACATACGCGTCATGAATAATTTACAACGTCAATCATATTGTCACGATAAAAAATAATTTAGAGGTATAAAAATCGCGGTATATAATGAAATATTTTACTTATATATATTTTTTAAAATATTTGGTCATTTGAGTGTTTCATTAACCAGCTAACGAACCGTTGCAAACGTTTGCCAAATCAAAACAGCGTAAATCAAATTAGACTCGATTGATACGGAGCGGAGTTACAAAAAGGCGTAGACGATGATGGCGATACAACTTTACGAGGCCCCGAGGAGGTACCCTGCCTCTATCGGGCAGAATCTTGTAATGCATTTATATTTTTCGAGGAGCTCGATAGCGCAAGTGGTTAGCGCGTTCGGCTGCGATCGTTGAAGCTATGCAACTTTCGCAGTAGTCGGTCTTTGGATGGGTGACCAAAAATTTACTATCTCAAGCTCCTTCGTGCTTTGTGCACATTAAGCCGTTGGTCCTACCTGCATCTGCAGTCGTCAGCACCCACCAATCCGCACTGGGCCCGCGTGGTGTCCCTATTCCATCAATAGGGAAGGCCTGTGCCCCAGCAGTAGGGACATTAATATGCTGATGATGATGATGATATATTTTTTAGTATAATTATTAATTGGCAGAATTTTTATAAGTCCGAATTCTCAATAGTATGCTTTTAAGATGTCAGAATTTTAAGCATAATTATCATTGACTAAATTTTATTCTGCATAATTTCGCTAAGCATAATCGGTGTTTGTTGTCAGTGGGTTAGATTAGGTTAGTGTTGTGCCTTCTTGTCGGCCAATGCATCCGTTATGCTTAGACGAGGACGAATAAACGAGGGCCACGATGTACCACGGTCCATGCCGCACGGATCCCAGCGGTCTCCGTATCCGGGTGGAGGGGGTCCGAATACCGGTCGACGAAAGTCTAAAGTACCTCAGCCTAATACTGTACCCCCGCCGGAGTTTCGAGGAGCACTTTAAGCTCTTCACTCCACGGCTGTATGCCGCTGCAGCCGCACTTGGTAGGCCCTTCTCAAAATGGAGGACCCAGGAGCTTATTAAGCCCCCACGCGCAGGCCATTCTGCGCACGTCTGCGGGGTCCCCGCAATACCTCGGGAGACCTCTGCCGTGGAGCCCCGGCTAGGCCGGGAGGCTTCTGGGTGCGGAGACGCGGAAGAATCCCTAAACGGGGATCCCGCGGTTTCGCACTAAGCAGCTTAGAGGGTATTCGCAGGGTTTAGCGGATATTATGCCGTAAAGCGCCCGTAAGAGTTACGGGGTCCTCAGTGGGCAGCCACTGTGGGGGCCACTGTCGAAGGTTTGCGGGAGCCAGGTGTGAGGTCCGTTCGGCGGTATACCTCTTAAAGGCGCGTCGTCTGTAAACACAGTTTTTGCCTCGTCACAAAAAAAGGGGCTGCGTGTCGTCGACTGTATCACGGTGTGATACGGTCGATTGCACTATACGGAGCTACGGTTTGGGCTGAGTGCCTCATGCACCGCACGGGAGCCCTGCTACGACCGACGCCTGCGGAGGGTTATTGCGACTCGGGCCAGTTTATTGCAAGGTCAGCTAGCGGGTGGCCTGCGTGCTCGCAGGTTTGACGCTGTGGGACCTCGATCCACAGATTCTCGCTAACGTGCATCGGTTGGGTCGAGGACAGAGGACAGGGAGCGGGGGAGCGAACGGCTGCAGTAGATTTGCGGCAAGTCCGTTCCATCAGGTAGAAAGAAGCTCTGCGCCAATGGGACGAGGCACTCGCCTATACCAGTGCCGGTTATTTTTCCAATAATTTACGTCCAAGTTCAGGGTAAATACAAAAAATAAAAAATAATGTTACTTCTGTTCCTTTTTATTTCTGTGATTGTGTAAGCGGTATTTTTTTATTTCATCACTAATTTTTCAGCTTTCAGAAAAGTATCAATTTAATGTTTAGGGAGGAGTACTTTATTCACCAATAATAGTTTTTTTGGCAGCAAGTCAGAAAAATCCAAAAAAATCGAACGACTGTCACAACTCGGTAACCATCCAGTTTTGACCCCTAGTTCACTGGACTTAATTTATTTCTAATGAACTCTAGTATAACCCCTTTCAAAGAATAAGCCGAGATTTTCTGTTACCCTGTATATATCCAAAATAATGTTTTATCCAAAATCGACCTCCATTTCAATATTAAAGACTTATTTATAATTTTTATTATTTTTAAAGCATGTAACTGCTTGATGTTTAAATCTAAAGAAAATATAACTAGAAAAAAATCCACGCGGACCAGGCAGCAGGCAGCATAATTGCTATTTCTTCTTTCAAATGTTTAATACTTGTAAAAGTATTCATTTGACATTGTGGGTTACCTACAATGCGAAGAGATGGCGCTGCTTCGTAGCTTAAGAATGGCTAGAAGGATTTCGACGCGGTCCGTGAGGGCCGCGGTAGCATAATTGGTCAGTGCATTCGCCGGGATTGCGAAGGGTGTGGGTTCGAGTCCCGTCTGCTGCCTGGTCCGCGTGGAATTTTTTCTAGTTATATTTTCTTTAGATTTAAACATCAAGCAGTTACGTGCTTTAAAAATAATAAAAATTATAACTATAATTGCTATTTCTTCTATCAAATGTTTAATACTTGTAAAAGTATTCATTTGACATTGTGGGTTACCTATGATGAGAAGAGATGGCGCTGCCTTGCAGCTTAAGAATGGCTAGAAGGATTTCGACGCGGTCCGTGAGGGCCGTGGTAGCATAATTGGTCATTAGACTTATTTTTAAAAAATCCTCTACAGAATAAAAGCATTTCTCTAATAGCCAATTATTCAATATTATTGTGAACCTATTGTAAGGCAGTTGTTTTATTTTGTCAGTGCAGATGCATACAAGCTTTGATATACTCTCACATAGATTCATTGGATAATTTTCATCCGTATCAACATTCTATTCCAACTTATGAGTGACACAAAATAGATACTTACCCCCTTGTCGGTCTTCTTTTTATGTTAAAAGAATGGCAACAAGCGTATAGTCCGACAAGGATCTTTAAGAATGTGAGAAACAGTTCATGGTGGCGCCTCTATCTACGTGAATTACATCATTACATAGTATAAAACAAAGTCGCTTTCTCTGTCCCTATGTCCCTTTGTATGCTTAAATCTTTGAAACTACGCAACGGATTTTGATGCGTTTTTTTTAATAGATAGAGTGATTCAAGAGGAAGGTTTATATGTATAATACATGCATAATATAGTAGAGAAACACTGATAATTTTAGAGGTTTTTAATGTAAGGTCGTAAATAAACACATTTTTTGCGCTTAGATTGCAAACGCTGGCTGAACCCCACGAGATAGATCAAAATAATGTACTACAGTATTGTACACCTTAAAAAAGTCTACAAAAAAGTCCCCGATGGTTTATGTCTATCTCTTAAGGATAACCCACAATAACCAATTTTTATCCTATACTTTTTACTAGAAATAATAGATTATTTACGAAGCGATTTTAAACAATATAACATTCATCCTTATCCAATTAAGTACCTTAAATACATTGTGCATTTAATATAGAACAATTTGGCCCTTTAACGCATATAATTTAAAAGAATATTTTCGAAGATATTACAAATTTAAAATTCAGGGACATAGCGGTTCCGACGCTACCGGGCTTGGCGGCGCGTGCCTATTGTAATTGGGTATTAGAAGAATGTCATTGTGTATAATACAAGCCTGAGAACAAAAACTATAGTCTACACTACAGCTTTACACCGAAGCGAAGCGAGGGCGGGCCACTAGTATAAAATATGACGTTTACAAAGACGGCAGCGTTGATTCCAATTTTCGCCACATTCATCAAGATCCTTGTCGGCCTTTATGGGCTGCCTGATGTTAAGCGACCACCATAGCCTATAAACACTTGCGATATCCAAAATATCACTCACACTATTGGGGTAGGTCCTCGCAGCTTAAGAAAGGCTAGAAAGAATTCTACACGGCCATCAGGGCCGCGGTAGCATAATGGACAGTGCATTCGCCCGGATAGCGAAGGGTTGGGGTTCGAGTCCCGTGTGCTGCCTGGTCCGCGTGGATTTTTTTCTAGTAATTGTAGGTAACCTACAATGTCAAATGATTACCTTTACAAGGTATTAAACATTTGAAAGAAGAAATAGCAATTATAGATATATTTGTTAGTTTTTAAGCATGTAGGTAACTAATAGACGTTAAAATCAAAATATTTTTTTACTAGAAAAAGAACCACGCAGACCAGGCAGCAGACGGGACTCGAACCCGCAGCCTTCGCTATCCTAACCTAATTCGCCCGAATGCACTGTCCATTAATGCTACCGCGGCCCTAACGGCAGTGTCGAATTTTCTCTTAGCCCTTCTTAAGCTGCAAGGCGGCGCCATTTCTTCGCATTTAATATATTTACAATCCAGTATCGTTTTGTATCATAATTTCACAAAACAATAACAGTGAGCGCTAAAATAACGAGAAAGTATAGCCGGAGTGAGGAGCTCGATGGCGCAGGCGGTAAGCGCTTTCGGCTGTTATCGTAGAAGTTAACCGACTTTCGCAGTGCTCGGTCATTGGATGGGTGACCAAAAATCTAAATCTTCTATCTCGAGCTCCTCCGTGCTTTGGAAGGCACGTTAAGCTGTTGGTCCCGGCTGCATTTGCAGTCGTTAGCACCTGCCAATCCGCACTGGGCCCGCGTGGTGGGTCAAGGCCCAATCTCCCTATTCCATCCATAGGGAAGGCCTGTGCCCCAGCAGTGGGGACATTAATAGGCTGATGATGATGATAGCCGGATTAATTTAAATTGTTAGTTCGTATTACCTAGATTTGGTTAACTCTTCACTGACAATTAGACAATTAGTGCCAATAAATAAATACTTGTAAGCAGCTGTATGTTAACATATTTTTCAGCATCTCGTTATTGTGTGATTCAAATTTAATGTCGGTTGTGATATGAAGTTGAATATGAATTGAAGTACGCAAGTTGCGATGCAGGCAACGAAATGTACAGATCTCGCCAATCTTCTAGTACGTTCTGACACGTCTCTAGCTAGACACACCTACGCGAAGCAACTTCAGAGCGGAATAGAGATTTGGGTCGATCTGTAGGGTGAAAAGACGCGCGGGGGATGTCACCGAACTGAAAACTGTATTCGCGATCGCTGCTAACTTCACAAAGTTTGAATCGCACTTTATCAACCCATGCCCATATACTCCTGAAACATTTTGTCCTGTCTGATTGTGATATTTTTTTTACATGAGGCTTAAATCTGTCAAATAACATGGAAAAATATTATTATTATTTAAAAGAATTGACACATAGACTATAATAAGTCAATGAAGCACTTTATTATGAAATAAAATGAATAAAAAATAATTTTCGTGCCTACATCTTTTGTAAAAAAAATGTCTGCGTGTTGTTTTAAAACGACGGTAGCATAGTGTGGGTTAAGTTATACTAGTAACGCACCCTCGCTTCGCTGCAGTAAAGCATGCATTACACATATAAACCCTCGTCTTGAATCACTCTATCCAATGCTGAAATAGTACATTATGATATAAGTGCGGTAAGTTGAGAATTACAGCCGAGGCGAAATTGTTTGGCTATAAGAAGGCAGAAGCTGTAATTATCAAACCGCACGTATGTTATACGACGTTTTATAACACATTTGCGAGGAAATAATACTACCTACGTACGTACTTTCTGAAAATGAATTTGCACCTTTGTTTGTTTTCCATAAGATGAAATTTTGATACGCTTGACTGTAAGTACTATCTATCCGTGGATTTTCGAGCAAGAGGCTTAGTATAGCCTTTTTCGACTTCTGGCGGTGTCAAATTAATAAATTCGTTACTACTTGACAATATTTTCAATTACAAACAATACAGCGAAAAGAAAAAGAAATAACTTTTTCACAGATTAGCGATGCGCGCGCATCATCGCTTTTTTTAGGCAAATGAACAAAAAACAGCCAGTGTTACTAATAAAGTAAATTAATATTTTTGTGAATTTGTTACCGATACATGGTTGTAATTTATTGTCAAAATGAATCAAATTAAAGAATTAAATGTTTATATATTATATTTTATCTCCCAAAGGTAATTTTTATTAAGATAATGTTGGTTACCTTTCTGACATAAAAACTCTTTGCTAAGATTTAAAAAAGTATCGTTCGTTTTTAGACCAAACATAATAAACCGTGCGTTGTACTTGACATTAGCGCACGCGTGTGTAATGTGATAGATTATGATATTGAAATTGGTGCAATAAGAGACGCTTTACGAGCAAATGTGTACAAATTTAATTATAAATTACATAAAATTCCGTAGCACTGTTTAAAAAAGGCGTACAGACAGCGGGGGCTACTTTGTTATGGAGTATATTGAATATGTAAACATTTCACTGCTCTTTTTCTTCCTCTTCGTTCATTGTCAGCACACCTTTAATAAGTTTGGGCGGCTTCTTCTTCTTATAGGATTTTGTGTAAAAATTGGTAAACATTCTAAAGAACAGTACAGTCGAATACAGTATGTATATGATTGCGGCGTAGCTGTACTCGCATTTTGTGCGGAGAATGCACAGAATCTGATGCAAGAAGATACTTATAAACTGGATCTGAAATTTGAAATATGTGATCTTTTATTTATATTGATGTATTAGGAAAACTCTTACGACCACATTCAGAGAGGCTAATTAAATTTATATATTTCATTAAGTCACAAGAGAAGCTCGATGGCGCAGTGGTTAGATAATGATAAGATTTTCTCTCCCGATTATGTTCCGAACTTACGATATCACGACGTAAAGTCGGTGTAGCAACTCTTAATTGTCAGATTTTTCTATTGAAGCCTTGTGAAACCAAAATCTTTAGTCTGACTGGCATAGATAAATTTCAAATAGGATATCAGGGACAGTAATAATAAGCAAGTGGAAACGGTTCTTAAGAGCGGAGGCAAGCTGAGAGACATTGGAGCAAAACGCAAAAAATTACAAAATTCGAGGTATCTAAAAACAATTTTACCCATAGAATAATAAGTTCTTACACCATGCCTCTATGTTTTGCTTTTTTTTGTAAATACTAATTTAATCTTCACACCCTACACGTCTTTAGTGGTGATAAAAAATTGTTGATTTATCACAACAAACACTTATCCAAAAAAGCAAGGGCATAGAATGGGAAAACATATATTTTATGTATGAAAATCATTTCTTTAGTGATAAAAATCAAGGAGGAGTCAGTCGAGAACGTTTGTATGGAAAAAACATTGCCCGCCTCCACTCTTAATGACCATAATCACATGTCAAATGATCTGACCACTAAACCATCGGACTCCTAAGCATAAACATAGCTAACGTAAGAACAAATACAATTCATAAATAAGAGCCTACAATAAAAATTTAAACTATAATACTTGTTTCTTAGGTATTCACGCGCATCACTCATTAAATAAAACGATTTTAAGGGTTATATGCACTGAATTAATTTATCTGACGTTTTGCAGCATTTGCAGGCCTCCGTCTTAAAAAAAAACTGAAGACGCAGTCCTGCAAAGGCTGCGAAGGGGGACTTTTTGGCGGGATCGGGAAGCGTCACTTTAGCAGTTTTGTTCTTTTTGTTAAAAATTGTGTTGTTGCGGATGTTAGTGTCTTATAGTGGTGGATTATTAACCACCAAGTGTTCAGGAACATGTACAAGTGTTGGCAAGTGAAACAAAATAGGGGAAAGTGTCTTTCGACGTTCCCTCAAGAAGTCCACGGGGAGGCTCCAGTAAATCCCCACACTTTTACTGAAACATAGGGAAAGGGGAATTGACACGACTGCCACTTACTTTGAGTTGATTTATTACTTTGACCACGAGTGCTATAGTATTTGTAAACATTTTAACACTTGACATTGGCTAAATGCACAAGCCGTGCGAAGCCATTTAGAAGAAAAAAAAGGCTGCGAAGCGTCAGATAAATATATTCTGTGCATATCACCCCCTAAAAATCGTTTTATTTAAAACTATAAGTTCATCGTTCGAATACTTTTAGACCTTAATCCAAGGTGGAACTCATCACTTAATCTACAACTTTTGTTTCAATAGTTAAAAATAAAAATAAACTACTAACCCTTTGTAAATTAGTGATGTGTTTTTTCCACGTCAAATACTTCGCGAACTGCGGTCCAAGGCCAGACACGAGGTAGTAGGTATACATGACGATGTGTACAAAAGAGTTGACGGTGATGAAATAGACGCAACTGTGGCATTGGCTGTAACGGAACAACATGTAGGTGCCGAAGACAACGGACGAATGATGGTACACGTGAAGGAATGACACTTGATCATACTTCTTCCTGAGTACAAAGAATATCGTGTCTAACAACTCGGTGTATTTCCCGAGTAGGAAAACGTATATAAGATATGATATCTGGAAGAAAAGGGGCTTGTTCAATAGTTTTTCTTTTGTTTTTTTTTCATGCTTACACGCACAATAATAATTTGGAGAAACACTTTTTAACGGGGTTTAAGGCGTAAGGAAGGCTGTGAAAGACCCGAAACGTCAGGATTAATGAAAAAGTAAATGAATCGCGCTTGAAACTCATTCATAATAGCTATCTTCTTATAAATAAACTAGCTATCTGTAATAAATGATTTTATTATTATTAAAAGAAGGGGTATTAAAACACGAGAGTCTGTTTTTTCAAATTCGATAATAGCTTGACTCGATTGTTTTAATACCTAAATTATATGCAGTTGCTTATACTAAGTACTTTATCTTCACTCATAGGAACAATTGAAATGATACAAATTAACAAAAAATAATTATGCAAAGCTTTTCTGAAATCCCGAAAATAAAACACGATCGGCAGAAAATTGTATGGGAAGCGCGGGAAATTAATTTCGAATGCGTGCGCCCCTTTTTACATTCAGCCTAATATCATGGCCTAATTTAACAAATTAAAAAATAAAAGTGTCCTATAATGATTAAAAAGATATTTTACGATACAGCTAGCAATTTAAGTTTTAATTTTATCTATGTGGGTTATAAAGTACGTCTTTATAAACCATATTTAATTTCGTAATTCGAATATTTTGACATAAGCATATTAATGGCCTAACTCCTGACCCTGGGGAACAAGCCTTCCCTATAAATGGAAAGTGAAAATTGGAGAGGACAGTGTGTTTGTTTGATAATAAAAATACGAAACCTGCTTTCTTAGCCATTGGACTCTCACTTTATACACTTGATATCCCTGGGTTTGGAATTTGTTTCTCACTTTGAAATCTTAACATATTTTAATAAGGTTCCTTACCTTTCCTCGGAATTTAGGATCAAACGTGGGGCATACTTTTGGAAAAAGTTCAGTTTCCCAGAGTATTGCTGTTCCCTGAAAAATTAAATAATACAGTTGCACATTATCCACGTTCGTGTAAGTATCCAGTTTAAATTTCGCGTTTTGCTTTATCCAGTGTTTGACGCCGTTATTGGAAACCTACGGTTCTCGGTCGCTACAGCGGCAAAATCCGGTATTACTTCCAAGTGATCTGGATGTATGGGACATTCACCCACCTTCCATCACTCTCAAACGACAGTTAGTGGATTCATATTATTCTAGATTTATTTGGCTTCAGTGCCAAAGCGTAGATAGCCCCCTACAGCACCCCCACTACAGACAGGCGCCTCCTTTAGGCACTAGACCTTCTGCTTACGACTCATCCGCAGGAGTATCGGATCGTGGTTAGAGCCCCACTGGGTTCATCAGATCATTGCCCGATATCTGCTAAAGTGCCACAGGCTAAAACCTCTCAACCATTGGTGGTCAAACGCAGAGCATGGCACTATGGGTCGGCAAAGCAAGTGGACCCGTCCGGAAAGCAAGTGGACCCGATGACATCACAGCAGTTGTACTGCAACATTGTACAGCGAAGTTGTCTGCCGTGCTTACACTCTTGACTTGGAGGGATGCAAATGTGCAACCAGTCTTCACACCGATCTTTAAGAGAGGATGGTTGGTGGGGCAGTTTGTAACTGCTATACCAGCTTACAGCAACTTGACATCAGGTGGAGTAGTCATTTGAAAAATACTGGCTATATATAAAAAAATACAGCATTAATCATTTTTGTTTGAAATCGTCAATATTGTCGGCGTTCGGGGAGGGTCAGCAGAGTATTAATTAAACACCTCAGCGTGACGACATAGTCGAGTGATTGACTGGCACCCCCCCCCCCCCCCCCCCCCCCCGCCCTCCTAGAATTTGAAAATAACATATAAAGGTAACGAATGACTTTATACCAGCCCCCACTTGGCTCCAGGGTAAATACGCCCCTGTCTATAGGTTACAGTGAACGCTTACCAACAGGTGGGACATAGCTCGTTTGCCACCGTCATTAGACAAAAAAAAACAAAGAACTATCTCTTACCAAACAAGTATAATAGGTGGATAGAATGACTTGCAATAAATTGTATACGAATATTGTTTTCCTCAACTCCATTGGCTGGCGATTTTTCATTAAATCTGGTCCAACTTTCAAGATAAACCATAAATAAGCGAACACAATTAGTATCATTAGACCAGTTGCATCGTGAAATGGATAGTCCTTTGTATCAACTGCAATAAAAAATAATAAATTATGATACTTCGTATTCTATAAAAATATGAGGAGCCTCCCTTAGTTATAGGGGTTTGTCAACTAGTCAGCGTCTCACATCTCAATAGGGATGATGACTAATTTTTTTTTCTTCGTTTATCAGGTAGATTATCGAAAAGTATTGGATACATATTTTTTCTTTTTTCACATAATATAAACATTGCAGAGATATATTGATTTGAAAAGTCGCGTGACGTCACTTTTGAGTACACTTATAAGTGAAAATTCACTCAAAAGTGACGTCACGAGCCCCTACTCCCAAACTTTGACGAGCTATAACTTTGTAATTTTTTGGTTGATTGCCCAAAGAAAAAATAAGTGTCCATTATTTTTAGATCATCTAACTGACGGACTAAATAGTATTTCGTTTACTGTACCCCGTCATCACCCCTATTGTATTAGAAGGCTATGTCGTCAACTAGTACATCAAGACAAGCAAGGCCAGATTTGAGGCAGGGCAGGCGAGGCTGTTGCCCCGGAGCCCAACAACAGGGAAAAAAATAAAAATTAATAGATAAAAATCTAGTCTTTCGAGATATCAAACTAGAATCGAACCAGCCTTCTTAGCTAATGGGGTAATCGCTATCGGTCAGTAATAAAAACACTTCTGATTTCTTTCTATGAAAATTTCTATTATTAAGATTACTTACACTGACTAAACCAGACGTAGGTTGTATTTTCTGGTGGAATATATTCCACCATTTTCTCAGCCATTGCCATTTTATTTTCTTAATATTTTCAAAGACGAATAGTTCCGTGTTCTCTTTATGTTACCTACATTACAAACTTGTCGATATCTCTTTATGTCACCGAAAGTAAAAAACTAATTACAAAAATGAATATTTGATTTTTCTTTTACGATAAAGTTAACGCACACAGCTAAAGCTATACGATTAGGTACTACGCAACGCGCTGCTAGACAGATAATATTAGTCGACCCTATTGGTCGGCGAAACCAGTTGCTGTGCCTTTGATAGGTCTGTGACACATTTTTTAACGACCATCGACGTCCAACTGGAAGCAACTTTTCACCGTCGAATACCCTTTACATTCTACAATTCCCTTTTGACCCTGCAACCCCTTTTCGCCCTCCAATCCCTTTTTCACCTACCAATCTCCTATGGTCATTTAGTTTAACTTTCTGATGTAGATACTGCTCCTCTCTCACTTTAACCCACAGCGCCGCTTAGATTAGTGAGATTCGATCGAAATAAAAAAAACCGTAAAGAATACGCACGGCGCCGCGGCGCCATGAATGGGAAAATGTTGCTCGTAATTTTGAACTTGCGAACAATGTATACAACCTCCGTAAATGCATTTTTTGAGCAAGTGAAAAGTATTTTTTATATCATTATAGTAGACTTTTATTTATTATATTAGGCTGAATGTAAAAAGAGGCGCACACGTTCGAAATTTTTAAATTAATTTCTCGCGCTTCCTATACAATTTACTGCCGATCGTGTTTTATTTTCAGGATTTCAGAAAGTGTTTTACAATAAAAATACGAACCCACACCCATTGCTGTTTAGTTAGGATGAAAGTTCTATCAAATAAGCTATAGAGAATTCTATACCCTAATAAAACTAAACAAATAAATGAAATACTTAAAAGAATGTTACCAACCTAAATATATATATATAGGGCAACAAATACAACAACGGCTTAATTTTCCTTCCACAGCTTCCAGCGCTTACCGCTGCTTCCAACTTAAAGTACTTGACATGGTTTTGCACATCTGTGATCGCAGCAGTGTTAAGGCCAAGTTTAGGCTATTGGATACAGCTGTAGGAATATGTTCTTAGACTACGTCCTGTTAATATTTTCTTCCAGTATCCAAGGCGAAGTTTGGCATACATATATTTTTTAAACCCGGTGACGCTGTAAAGTTCATCTGCGACCAACAGCATACACACTCAAAAAGAACATATTTTTTAAAAACATATTCTCGAGTGTATTTCACATTTAAAAACTTTATTACTATTGTGCATGTTATTTCGACTAACTGTATTAAGCATATACATTTAGACATAAGAAATCTTTACTGTTCTGTCCGTGCATGGTCCATGCATAACCCGTAGGTGCTGCTAGTAGGTCCCCCGTAGATCTACTACTAAGGATATAAAACCCGGTACTTAAGACCTCACCAAATAGTATTTTTTTTTTAATTTATTTATTTATAACCGCGCAATGCAGGCCATAGACAGGGCCAGATTTAGAGGTGTGGGCCATCTATGCCGGATCCCCTCCGGTTGGTGAAACATCGACACATTTTTTTATTTCTTTGAAACTTTCATAGTCACGAACATTATAGTAATTTTATGTTATTTACGGAATTGTTACCATGTACCTTGTTTGTATATACCTACGATTTTAATGTAAATGAATAAATATTTTTGGATTCTTTAAGCATTTAACTGCTAGATGTTTAAATCTAAAGAAACTATTACTAGAAAAAAATCCACGCGGACCAGGCAGCAGATGGGACTCGAACCCGCACCTAACATTAACTCAACATAACTAACATTATTTTAAAAAAGTGTATGCGTGAAGTGAAATATCGCTTCGCGGTCGTATCGATAGTGTGCACAAGCGCATTCAAATAGAACGTGTCAAGGGGCATATCTTACGTGTACTTGAGTATTACACGGTATGTATAAATAATTATATTTAACGTACACAGGGCCGGATTTAAGGCAACTCAGGCGGGGCTGCGGCTTAGGGGCCCCCACAACAGAGCAAAATTTTTAAGGGTCACCAGCTAGCAGGTTGGGGGGGGGGGCAGGCGGGGCGTACCAATCGGCCCGGGTTCCAGATTTAAAATAGGAGCCCCTCCCCTTCGTTCCCCGGGGCCTGCACACCTCTAAATCCGGCCCTGTACGTAACGTAGGTACATATTTTGTTTCGAACCTTGTTAAAATTATTTTTAGTTATTTTGCTCAGACGAAAAGCATAATCTCGTATTATCTTATATAATAAAATTCACGAGTCACAATGTTACTTACCATACTATTTCGAAACGGCTTGACCATATTCAGTAGGTTTCAGAATCAGCTGGGAAAAAAATACAACCGTACATTTTGACTCTTCTACCACCAACTCCTATTTTTATGGCGGTACGAAGTTCTGCGCGTCTGGTTAAAATTTACTCATTCTAAAGATTTGTGAACCATTTTTAATGAGTATCGTGTAAATTATGCTAAACTACAAATACCAAACCCCATTAGTAAAACAACAGTTTCAAAATGATTGATTCCACCATTAAATTTCCGTTGTGAAACTCTGTATACCGGCTTCGCGGTAAAGATTATGCCAGAACTCATGCCTTTCCTTATCTGGATACACATCTACGGTTAACTTCTCATTTATATTTAAGAATTCCCTCTTCGTCTGCGTAAATGTCGGCCATTTGACTTCAAAATAATCATCTGGCGTAGGATTACTGAAAATCGAGAAATTTTATAAAATAGACATCGTAAATAAGTACCCTATTGTTTTAGAAAAAGTTAAAAATTATTGACTGGATTGTTCAATCACAGAAAGCAAAGAATCCTTAAATTCATTTAAAAAAAGGCCCTTTTCATTTCATGTAATATTATTTACCTACATACTTAAGACACGACTATGAAAGAGCCTCGCTGAATTTATTTCCCTATGCTTAAGTTGTTAATAAGCCATTGGCTAAACTGGCCATAAGACAGGAAGGTTAACAGCAGGAAATTATACTTCAGGATTGTGTTATTTGGCTGCAGTCGACTGAAAAATCGGAGGATTCTCTCACAGACGAGCGTTCCGATTTAGGCTTCAAGCTCAGTGGATAACCTTCGCCTTCGTGCCTTCTTTAAAGTCAACTGTCAAGGTAAGCCTAGTTAGAAATTAGGGTAGATTGTAGCAGTTATAACATATTTAGAATGAACGAGTTAATCACACTAACATTATAAATACGAAAGCTTGTGAGTGTGTATGAAGACCAAATTTTGTAAGTGTGCATTTTTGTTACTTCTTCACGTCTAAATGGCTGGAGCGATTTAAAAAAAAATGGTATGGAGTTAGCTCTGGATTACCATAGGCTACGTTTTACTGCGGGAAAATATCCTAATAAACCGGGGGTGACACCGCGGCCACAGCTAGTAATTTATAGTTTCTTTGTCTTTTATTTCAAACTATCATTAGTGAATACGAAAAATTAAGAAAATTGCATTTACCCAGTTTTTGCAAACTCAGTCCACAATTTTGTCATTTTGTAAATAAGCTCCTTCGCGTGCGGTTTTTCTTCGTATATCGATTTGTTTACCTTATTCTCAAAGATATAAAACAAGTTATCAACGTGGCATGTGCCCTTGATGTGTCCATAGCCCATATAATCTTTAAACTTGTTCAGTTCTGAATCCATGCAGAACTTAAAGAAGAAAGTGGGTTGCTTCGACGCAGCATAAAAATAAGCAAATCTGAGAATGCTAATTGCATAATGATAATCAGTCAAGTATTTCTCTGAGTTATCCTCCTTGATAAAGGCATCTTTGAAGTAAAAATTCTTTATACTTTCTCCAAAAAAGTTAAGTCGTGATTGCGTCAACTTTTGAAGCATTTCACGGGGTAACAAATAATGAAAGTGACTATTGATAATATCTACATTTTTCATGATAAGCTTCAAATTAATCAAACCTTCGTGAGAGTTATAGCCAATTATTAAAGGTACATCGTTATGTTTCTTGGCCAAGATTATATCAAGAGGTTCTTCGGCAATAAACGATTCCACGTTATCAAATTCTTTTTCTACCACCGGAACGAAATGAGCAGGAGAGCATCTGATCTCCTCGTCGTCAGTTCTGACTTTACTTGTTAAACCTACGAGTTTAACAGCAGGCAGACTTTGGAGGAACTCCAACAATTCGTGAGGATCATTCGTTTCTTTACCCAAGATCTTGCCTACTTTAAATGCTCTTTCCCTACCATTGAAATCTTTCGCAAAATCATTGAAACACGTTCCACTATGCGCTATTGCCTTGTGAAATAAACCTTTAGACATGGGCGATACCAAATGGTAAGTGACAGATGATGCACCAGCACTATCCCCATAAATAGTAACATTGTGAGGATCTCCACCGAATCGCTCAATATTTTCCTGAACCCAACGTAATGCAGCCACTTGATCCTTCATTCCTGCATTACCTGGCACTTCCGGTGTGTCTAGACATAAAAATCCTAGAGTTTCGAGTCTATAGTTGATTGTTACAAGTATCACATCGTGCTGCAGTAGAAATCGAGGACCAAATAAGTGATCATTTCCTGATCCAAACATAAATGCTCCACTGTGTATGTAAAAGATGACAGACAACTTAGAACATGACTCCAAGGATTTCGTATAAACGTTCAGAAATAAGCAGTCTTCGTTTCCTTCGTTCGTTTTTGATGTGATCATATTGTGTTGAGGACAAACTGGACCATGGTCAATGGCTTCCAATATTCCAGGCCAAGGCTGCGGTGGTAAAGGTGACTAGAAAAAATATATCAATTCATCATTCAGTGTATTTCCTGTACACCCACGAGCTTTGACAGATCCATAATCGTATCGTCAATCTCAAATTTTGTATGGAAGCAGCCAATTTATTCTTACTTCTGTTAGGAGAACTGCTTAGTTTTCATAGAAACTTTGACGATACGATACGATTACGGATGATGATATTTGACAATACATGAAAATAAGCGAATAAAATTATGACTTTCAAAAACAATGTTATTTGTTATTAATACTCACGCAAGTCTCACGGGTGCGAAACGGAGAACCCGTTAAGCAGTCCGCGCGTCTTA